TGAACTCTCTTAACTGCAGTTACAAAAAATATGCCAACAAGGGTGCTCTAAGTCAACCACAATGTTAAATGAAGAAAGAATTATTAGATGGCAGAAATGATCTGCTCTACCAACACAGATTTAATCTTGTTACAGTGGTACAATAACCATATTACAATGCAAGAAAAGAGAAATAGACCATTCATTTCATTTGCATTTACAAATCAAACACAACAAATGATACAAAACCTCTGAGGTTCAGAGTACAACTGGTAATATTGGCTAAAACTTCTAACAAGATGCACCTTAAACAAGACTCACAATTTAGGAAGCACTTCCTCGTCGGCATCATCAAACTGCCCAGTGTCTAACGAGAAGGACAGCTGAGCACTGCATAGATGTGGTGCAGGGAATGAGTAAACGGCTGATTCATAGTTTGCTGTCTTGGTGAAGGCTTGGAATGCAGGAGGATATGAGTACAGCAAGTTTTGCAGTTGGTTTTGAAAATTAACTTTGTTATGACTCCTTTGCTCAAATGTTTCCAGTATAAGATTATAAGCCAATGAATCTTCTATTTCCTTATCCCAGTCCTCAGCAGTGTCCAGTACACTTGGCAATGGCCCATCCAACAGAGAACCTTTGGTTTGAGGTCCATCCTGCTGAAGTTCTTCAAAGAGAGCTGCATTTGATAGATCCTTGTTGTTTCCATTTCTTGTGCCTGCATGGTATTCTGATTGGGCTAGACTTCCCTGATTGGACTCACAGTCATATAAATCATCGACATCTTCAAAAATTTCAGAATAAATGTTTTTAGAGAGTTTAACAAAGGTCTCTGCTTCCTGAGATAGGAATATTGAGGACGACTTAGGAATTAACCCTCTAGTAGTTTGCTCTCTATCATGAACTTCTCTCTCATCTGCACCTGGTGCAAAGAAAAAAAAAGTTAATTTAAACAATTCACTAAGTGGCTTTATTATACGGCTGTGTCACACAAGGACTGGGAACTACCGAGTTCACAAATTTGATTGGCTGAAAGCAATATTGAAAGCAGTCTAGATTTTTCCATCTAGACCGGCATCTAGACCAGTCTACAAAAAAAAGGTACAAAGAATATAAAAAATTGGCATATAAGACACAGCCATATAATAAACATCTTATTAACTGAGCTAGGTCGGTCTGTATGGGAGAATCTTGACCTCGGTCGCTGTTACAGACTTCATTGTGTTTGGTCTGTACTGGCGACCTCGAGCAAGATTTCCCATACAGACCTCCTGCTCGGTTAATAAGAACTAAGTAATGCCTCAGAGGTGAAGAGGGGCAGGAGGGAAGGGGCAGAGTCTAACAAAGAAGGATGATGGAGGGGTACAGGAGAGGAATGTGTGGGTCATAGAGGCTCTGCAGGTGACATCAGAAGCTCATTCCCATTAAACCTTTACACCCTTACATCAGTATGTGTATTCTCCATGTTGTTCTCTATATATTTCCGTAAATAATAAATATATAATAAATAATAACTTAGCAATGGACATTCCACTGGGTGGCTCTTCTTGTCCACTGTTTCCAGATTGAATTGGAATTTGGAATTTTGGTTTTTGCAGAGGGAGGAAAACTGGAGGACCTGGAGAAAAACCCTGGAGCAAGGACGAGAACCAACAACAAACTCGACCCGCATATGACGCCAGGTCCAGGAATTGAAAACAGGCCACAGTGGTGGGAGGCAACTGCTCTCACCACTGCGCCATCCCTGCTCCTCCTTGCATGATGACAAGGAGAATTTGTTTAACAATTGCGAGATTCTTAAGTTGGTGAATGTTTTCTTTATTCTTATGACCTTTAAGTGTGATTCAGGAGTAATAGTTACTCTCACGGGTCAAAAGATTAGTCCTAATAAAGAATACAAATATCAGGAAATAAAAATGTATAGAATGCTCATTTAGCTAAGACCCTACCCTACTAGGCCTCATATTTGGAATTTAAAATAGCAATTCAGACCTGTTAAGTTATCAGGACTTTCCAGGAACGGGCTCTTGAACTGAATCTGGCCCAAAGCTACTTCTGAAATTACCCACCTTCATGTGACTTCCATATTGACAAACTTCTTTTCATGGCATATTCTAAAGCTGCTTCACAGTAACCTGGGTCATCAGCATCTTCCTCATTGGAGTCATCTTCACTTGTATCAATGACATCATTTAGTATCTCAACTGTTTTCACTGCACTAGTGTCAATATAATCTTCCCTCATCTTACCACGCCAGTCTTCTTTCAAGCTCGGATCTCTGTCTGGATATTTAACTTGCTTTGTCAACTTTGGAATTTTACCAGCTTTCAGTTTAAATTTATTCTTATCCAAGTCCAGTCTCAAGAGCCTCTTAAGATTCAAAAGTTCTTTAGGAATCTTTGTGAGTTCATTGTGGAACAAATCTAAGGTTTGAAGATTAGCCAGATTTGCAAATGAACTGGGGAGCTCTGCAAGGTAGTTGTTGTTCAACCTCAATTCAATCAGGCTTGTAAGATTGCCAAAATCATCAGGAAGAGTTTTCAGGTAGTTTTGAGACAACTGAAGATACCAAAGCTTGGATAGGGAACAGAATGAGGGAGGCAGACTTTGTAGACGATTTTGCCCAAAATCAACCCATTCCAAATTAGCTAGAAAACCAAAATTTTCTGGCAACTCCACTAATTGATTCTCATCTAAATGCAACTTCTGTAGGCTCAACATCCATCCAAAACTACTTGGTAATGTTAAAAGCCAGTTTCCATTTTGAAATGCCCTTCTCTCAAGTTCACAAATTGTGCTTCCCAGCTTTAGCTTTTCCAGCTTCTGTAAGTCTCCTACAGTTTCGGGCAAGTTTGAGATGTTGTTTGCAGAAAGATCTAGAGTCTTCAATGTCTTTCCAGATACAGTTCCAAAGGAATCTGGAAGAGGATTTCCCAACAACTGATTGTCTGCAATTCCCAGATTCTCAATGCAACCCAACTGTCCAAACCAAGCAGGTAAAGACTTCAGATAGTTATTGTTAATAAAGAAATTTTCTATGGTGTTGGCAGATTGAAATTTTTCCAGTAGATTTTCAATTTTGTTACCACTTAGGTCAAACATTTTTAAACTAGGCAGGTCTCCCAATGAGTGTGGTAGACTAGATAGGTTGTTACTGCTCAAGTTTAAGATTTCTAGCTTGCTCAGTGTTCCCATATCCTCTGGCAGGCTTGTGAGATTGTTTTCTCCCAACTCCAACACCTTAAGGTTCTTCATACAACTGAAAGACTCGGGTAGGGTTGTCAAATTATTCTCATCCAACCGCAGTTCTGACAGACATTCCGCAAGTCCCTCCTTCCAGGATTCGATTCCATTGCCAATGACGTCCAGAACTTGCAAATGCTGCAGCTGCGCTAAAAACGCAGGCACTACGGTTAGGCAATTCTCGTTTAAGTGAAGTGATTCCAATTTTTTTAGCTCTATCATAGTATCCGGAAGTTCTTCCAGCTGGTTTCCAGTAGCGGATAGTTCTCTCAACGAAGATAGGACAGAAATCTCGTTTGGTAAGCATTTCAAATCATTGTAATCGACGTTTAAAATGGTGACGTGACGAAGTGTCTTAGATAGAATATCACTCGGTAGAAAGTCGAGATCCAAAGAAGACAAATCTAAATATGGATCTCCATTCAAAACAACCCTTTCTAAAACCTTTTTCGCTTCTTCCATCGCCAATGCTTCTAGTCCGGCACTCAAACGTGTATCAGGATAGCCTCGACTTCGCATCAGAGAGCTGGTCTGATAAGCTCTTACAATAACAGGGACGGGGGGGGGGGGGGGGGGGCTAAGTTATCTTTCGTACTCCCCCAAAGATTTTCTATCGTTTCTATCGTTTCTGGGGTTTAGTCTCAGTATTCGCGTCACGCAACACTCTTATGGGGAGAAAACCCTTAACCCCTGACAAACTTTCAGTGAGGTCGTTGTTGTTGTTTTTTTTTAATTACGTGTGAGGATTGCGTGATAAGACCAAACAGAAAATCCTTGAGTACTTGGAGAATTCCGGATATTTATTGCTTTTTCTTTCCATTTGTCTTGCTGCCTCCATCCGGTTCATGATAAATTAAACACAGACATTCCCAGTTTTCTGTCATATTCTGACCACTGCTCTTAATAATAAACATAAAAATATATTGAGTCTCCGGAATCGTACCAATTCCCGTGCGTGCCAAGGTCTCACAGGCCAAGGGAATCGTTTAGGTCTGGGAGCAAGAATAAGTGTAAAGGAAACGAGGCTCTGGGTCGAGTTATGATGGCGACGAACTTGTTTGGCAGTATTTAGATTTTTTCGCGATTTTAAAGAAGTATCCACGACGGATTATCCCATATCTTCAAATTTTGACGTGTTTTTGAAATTTCGTACTTAAAAAATTCTTGTTTCTAGCGGTATACAATGTTTAAGCATGAGTTTCAAGTAAGTGAATTAGCAGAGAGCGGCAAAATCGGTTATAGCTTTAATCTGTACAGTTACACTTGTCTAACGAAGCTTAATTACTGTAACATTTCGCTATTTATCTTCCGATTTGTGCAAATAGGGTGGCTCTTACGTGGAAGTTTTCAGTGCTCAAGGTCGAGACCCGGTAGCGAAATGGAGACTGAGTGGAAGTGCTTCAACCAAAAACAAAGTTTACGATAAGGACGTGAAGAGTTTTGTTTACTTTTTGGAGGGCGAGACAACCACAACGAAAATGAGTTTACCTAAGGACGAGAAGCAATCGTTAGGACTCACACAGCGGTATTTGGTTTTACAATTGTATGTACCACTGGGGCATTCGTTTTCTTTAGAGTTTGGTGTATCGGACAGCTCTGGGAATAATAAACGTCGCATTCTGCTCTCCTCAAATCATAGAGAAATCACTATTACACAACTTCACGCGCGATTTCCTTTCAACATCCTTCGCCTCGGCGTCTGGCTAAATCTTTGTTTCGATCTTCGGTCACTGGTTGGCGAAACGTTCAAGGGAGAGTGTTTTAATGCTCTGGAAAACTTGACAATTTCCGCGAGTTGTCGTTTAAGGAAAATCTTCACAATGAAGTTGCAACCGTTTGATACTACGGACGACGATGAACTTTACAACTGCGAGAATACAAACAGCGGAGAGTTAGACAATATACCCAAATCACTTCAGCTCTCAACTTTACCAGACATCCCGTATTACACACAGGTACAAATACCGTTTTATTTACATTCTTGTTTACATAGCTGGTTCAATGCAAGCTTACTGTATTCTTAATTGTCTTCATTAACGTTCGTTTATACTGTGACTGAGAGTAAAACAATATAATTTGGATATATCACCAAAGTTGAAATGGTAAATTGGCCACCGTAACGATTACAAAAGCTGACGTTTCGAGCGTTAGCCCTTCGTCGGAGCGAATAGAGGAATTGTGGGTATTGTGTGCTTTTAAAGGCAGAAAATGGAGCTACGTTATTGGTGGGAACATGGCAACGAGAAAAACAAGAATAAATTAGTGGAATGAAAAGCGTTTGTTGATCCCTGTGGGATTTAGACCACCGGTTTGAAAGGTGAGCTTTTGTTCAAGATTTTTACGGCTCTCCGTGCTACCTAAGTGTAAGGAAAGACCGCAGATTGCCCTATGTTGCTTAGAATGATTAGGTAAATTAAAATGTCTAGCGACTGGTTTCGATGTGTCCTTGTCATTCTTTTCCATGTCTCGAAGGTGTTCTCGGAATCGGTCACCTAGTCTTCTGCCTGTTTCGCCGATGTATATCTTTTTGCAATAAGTGCAAGTTATGCAATAGATTACATTGGCGGAGGTGCACATTGGCAGAGGACACATCAAAACCAGTCGCTAGACATTTTAATTTACCTAATCATTCTAACCAACATAGGGCAATCTGCAGTCTTTCCTTACACTTAGGTAGCACGGAAAGGCGTAAAACTCTTGAGCAAAAGCTCATCTTTCAAACCAGCAGTCTAAATCCCACAGGGATCAATGAAGGCTTTTCATTCCACTAATTTATTCTTGTTTTTCTCGTTGCCATGTTCCCACCAATAATGTAGCTCCATTTTCTGCCTTTAAAAGCACACACAACCCACAATTCCTCTATTCGCCCCGACGAAGGGCTAACGCTCGAAACGTCAGCTTTTGTAATCGTTATGGTGGCCAATTTATCATTTCAACTTTGTTGATATATCCAACTTATTTCGTTACTCCCTCCGACACAGCCCCAGTTTCTTTTGAAACTATCAGCCTTTATTAATTTGAGAGTCAAACAAAATCTACACGCCGGTTTGGTCTTATAGTTTGGACTATAATTAATTTATTGACTGCAATTATCTCCCGTGATTCATATTTGCACCTTATTTTGTTGATTGTTTTTGTCTTACTGGTTATGAATGCATTAGACTTCATTTAATTGTTGGTAACTAGTATTTTTTACATTTTTTTTTTGCGAAATGGTTGTATAGTGAAGATAGATAATTTTCTGTCTTTTGATGAGTGTGTGACAGAGGAAAAATTCTGCATCTCTGTGTGGAATTGAACCTTTGGAACCACTGTGCTAGATAGTATCTGTGGCTGTTATTAGGTTCATATGATTAATATTGTTTGGGAAAAAAATACGATGTTTCTTGTTACATCAATTCATATTGCAATGGTTTTGATGTCGAGATTGACTTATAAATAATTTTTTACCTGCTTTAGTAGGATTCTTCCCTCCATGTGAAACTGAATTTTGTTGTATTTTCTTCAAGGTCATCAACATGAGCAAGATATTACAGGCAGAAATCAAAACAAGAGAGAGAGCTGGTCTTCCTCCACCTTCAACACCAATCCTCACTGAGGCTGATATGCCAGGAAATAAACCAGAAGAACAACCAACACACATTGCATTTGGTTCAAAAGTTGTTATTCCTAAACATGCAAGAAAGTCTTCTCGTGAAGGAGGAGCATCTTCTGCAGGTGCCCGATCTTCATCAGGACTAAATCACAGTGGCTCAATCCCACACTTGACATCTGTTTCACCTGCATTTGAGCCTGAAAGTGGATGTGAAAGTAGCAGACTAACTCACAGACTGTCATACCAGAGATCTTTATCTGATGCTACATATTTTCAACCTGAATCCTCCAGTAACCAGTTAGAGGTGGAAGCCACACAAACAACAATGCAACCGAGACCACCAAGAACTGGCTCAGGTGGAAAGACTCGCAGAAGACCTTTGAGAATCAAACATCCCGGAAGTTCTAAAGTTCGAAATGGTGATGACAAGGATAACACAATTAATAGTGTAAAGAATGGTGTGAATGGTTCCTCCACTTCAAAGGACAATGTCTCCGATGATCAGGAATCTATTTCTAGATCACAAAGTGAGAGTTCCCTGAAGACATCAGGGGATGATAATACCCTAGCAGGGAGCTTTAACAAAATGTCAATAAAAATTCCAGAAATGGATCAAAATGGCCATGACGATGGGGATCCTGCTAGTTCAAAAGAACAGGCAGCCCTGATGACAAAAATTGAAAAAGGGTCTCCACCTGTTTTTACTTTTTCATCAAGACCTAGATCAGCACCTAGATCACCTCGAGGTCGACAACGCAAAACTTCAGATTTTACTCAGGTTACAGCACCTGCGGAAGAAAAGCCGGAGATAAAACTTTCTTCACAAGTCTCTGTGGACTCTAAAGACTGGACAAATACATCACAGAACCGATTGCGGAAAGGCAGTGATAGATCAGAGTATGACGATGACTTCTACAAAGCTTCTGGAGAAAGTTCAGCTGAGGAAGATGATTTGCAGAACTTTTTGAAAGCTAGTGGAAATTCCAGGTGTAGCTCAAGAGGGTCTAAACTGAGCCCTCTGGAAAGTCCATTGCCAAGTCCTGAGCCTGATCCTTTGTCAAAATCACAGACTTTAAGAATGAGTATTAGAAGTAGCTTGTTGAAGGAGGTGAGTGGAGAATTCATATCAAATCCAAGTAAAAGATTAACTAAAAAAGGTCATTCCTCAGCTAGCCTGCATATAAGGGTTGGTTCATGCACAATGTTATATACCAAAATTGGCACATTTCTTAAACCAGGGTCAGACATACAATAGTTGACCACTATTTGCTAAATTTACTTGTGAAATATAATTTACTGCACAGAAAAAGGGCATAGAATTATAACTAAAAACAGAAATTGATTATAGTATTAATGAGACATATGCAATTTTTATGTATTGTCAGACCAAGGGTGAGACAAGGTTGGACAGATCTGGTTTTAAGAAATTAGACATGCCAGTATTTGGAGCTGTTAGTAAAGTATTTCTGCCAGTACACACCAGTACTGCACATGAATACTTTGACTACATTTAAGTTGTACACTAGATAATGGAGGCTTTTCTTTTTTCTTGGCAGAGCTCAGGCATTGATTAATTGGCATCAAAATATTGTTGTGCTTTGATATACCAGAAGGCATGAAATTATAAGTGTAGTCTGTTACTTTTCTTTTCTTTTTTTACTCAAGATTCCTTCACCACGTAAAAGCAATGCAAAGCCTTATGATGCAAAGAATTACCAATCAGACGCAAATTCATGGCGAAATGTTCAATCAGATGCAAGCTCTTGGCGATTTGACACATCTGTTATGAGTAACAACATGTTAGACAAATCCTTGGGTAGATCATTCAACAGCTCTTTTGGACATGATAGTGGGATATTTAGAGAACACTTGAACAGTAGTGGGACTGGTTCTGAAGGGATCATCATTAATGATGGAGGGGATTCCCTGAGTGACTCTAGCGATGACACAACTTACAGTACATGGAAAGGACCACCTCCCTCGGACAAGCGGATACACCGCTACTTAGATGAAATGAGGGTCAGTAAAATGGTATTAGTTTGGCAAGAAATGGGGGAGGGGGTAGAATTTGTCAAGAGTCAGAGCTATTCCATTATGAAAATTTCAATTCTGAAGTGTCTGTACTAAATATACTCACATGAAGTGCTGCCATATAACATAATCCAGCATGATGTGACTAGCTATAGACAACCCTATACACCAAAACATCCTAAAGAATTAGGGTATTTTATCATTAGAGTACAGTACAATACAATACAAAAAAATAGAGTAAAGAAACTACCCACTTTAAAACTACACCACAAATAGAGTCAATTTGACAGAATTGGGTGTTGGGCATATGAAGTAAACTTAAATTTCTAGGGTGGTTGTCAGGGGTGCGGCTTACCAAATGAAAGAAAATTGATACTGCAAATCCTTGTGAGGTTATGGAGTCCATATTAATTTTTCCAGAAGGATACTTCCTTCTCTGCCTGCCTATTCATTCACATAACTTATCAACTCAACCTACACTGAAATCAAACTGTATTTCCTAGTAAGCTTTTAGTCTGTTTCACACTTGGAACCTACATGTACTTGAAATAAAATTGATATTTTATGTTTTTTTTTTTTCACCATGATCGTGAAAAATACAATCATGAAAGTGGCAGGAAAGCATTATGTGATGGCAAAAAGATAACAACATGAGCAAAACGTTTCTGAAACATTTTCAGGTTTTAGCTGTTCTGTTTGGCCTTATCCCAACCAGAAGATCTTGTTGTCTTCTCTACCCCATCAGTTTTACTTTTAAGCTAAATGGAAGACAGTAGTTTGAACTGTTGTAATATGTGTTTTGCATCCATTAGCACCCGGGACCAGAGCCAGATCTTACAGCTACATTACCGATGGATCCAAGAGAGTATTCAAATGCATTCAGTCCACCTATTGTACTACCCAGTCAAAAACGGAGCACTGGTAAGCGAGGCACTCTATTTGAGGTGGCAGTGACCTTCAGTTCTGAGATGTTTTTCACCCTTAACCTTTTCACTTCCACAATCTCATTATTAATTCTCTCGACTGTATGCTACACCATGGTAACAATGCCAGTTCTGAGGATTTGCTATATCGGATTAACTAATAATCCCCTAATTCACAGCGATCTTAATTCTCATAACTTCTCTGTTTTACATTACATTGGTATTGTAATGAGAACTTCTGTTTTAGTCACTTATGGGAGTAAAGGGTTAAGATGAATTTCAGGTAGTGACGAAGGGGAGGGATACCACGTTCATTGTACTCAGGCATATGATTCACTTGTTATTTTCAAGAACTATTAGTTATTATGGAATAATTTTATAGCTCAACTTCTTCACTATTCAAGATCTGTTTAGTTTTGCAGTCCTGGGAACAACAAACCTAGCTCTCCTGAAATCAACACTTGGCACTCCTGTCTATTTGGTTAAAGATGGCCAGATTTTACATTTCAGAATGTTACTATTTCAGTTGTATGGTTAATAAGGGAGACATGATGCAGGGGCTTCAATAACTGTCTTATATGTGGCTGCTGATGCTATATTATAGGTGGCTGTGCCATGAAAAGGGGCTGTAAGGCAAAACCCTAATGATACCCTGCTTGCTGGCTAAAGAGACAGCATTAACAGGTCTTGTAGGTGGCAGTAGATGCCTGCTGACCAGCTATTATTTTAACCCCTGTGATGTTAATGGATGCATTTTTCCTAAAAGCATTTATTTGATTGACAGCTGGCCAACAGGCGGCTCTCTCAGCTGCGCTGTCACCACCAAGAAGTCGTAATCCAAGCAGTAGCATGGATCACCACACAGCAGATGAAGAGGAGTTAGATTTACTCTATGATCCATGTTTGAACTGTTACTTTGATCCCAGAACTCACAAGTACTATGAACTGGCATAAGACACGATGAGGTGACTTCCCAGTTGTTTAGTTTATTTAACTGTCAATGCAAGTCAATAAAGCTTATTTACTTACCTGGACACTTCACGTACACGTACCTGTTGTTCATACTGGGTCATTTTGTGAAGGAGTAAAACTAGTTATAGTGTTGAAGACAGGTAAGATGACGAGTTCAGTAATACCCGACTGCCGCCCAGTGATAGGGTCATCTTGAAGGCTGGGCCATACTTATAGGGTTCAACTGAGGGTTGTAATGTCAGGAAAACGGTAGTAAATTTAAGCCTAACGTTTCCAAACGGCAAAAATAAACTCGGATATTACCCCCTTTACTCATAATTCTCAAATCAACCCTGCATGAAAATAGCAAAACACAAATCTCTTGTTCCTGGCCGATTCAAATGTTTTCGTTTTCGAACCAAACATTGCGCTCATTGATCGTAGTGGATACATTCCTAGTGAGGTATTGTCGTTTTTCTTGCGATGCAGTCTCTTCTAATGTGGTTTATCCAAATCAGACGTACCTAGATCTTGAGAAAAACTAGAACACTTCATTATTGTTTTCGTATTAGCGACCAATCAGCTGATAGCAAACGTCGTTAAGTTCAATTTTTTTCAAATGGGTGATAGTTTCGAAAGAAACTGTTTGGGGCTGCGTCGGTGGGAGTAACGAAATGATTTGGATATATCAACAAAGTTGAAATGGTAAATTGGCCACCGTAACGATTACAAAAGCTGACGTTTCGAGCGTTAGCCCTTCGTTGGAGCGAATAGAGGAATTGTGGGTTGTGTGTGCTTTTAAAGGCAGAAAAAGGAGCTCAGTTTTCAGTAAACTTCCGGATTAATGTATGTAGTATTACCTTTTGATATCACTTTGTCGGGCGCTGCGGCACATTTTGCGGGCTAAAATGGAGATTTTGTCTTATTAGTTGCCGTGACAAAGAAATAGTATCAGGTGCATTATTGTTCAGTAAACTAGTTAAACTAGTTTATTAAATTATTATAATATTTATTATGTTTAACATACGATTATGTATCAGTCAATGCTCATATCAGCTCGGTACAAGATCATTCATTTGTAAATAGGTGTGATTTCTTTTTCCTGTACATATCCTCACTTTGAAGTGAGTAACCTTTGACTGTGCGAGTTTCTTATTGTAGATTGACATCGTCAACACATTGTTGGTCGTTTTCCTCTGTCCTTCGACAGGGTTTGTGACCTCTGAGAAAGGTTTTCAATAAAATTCATTTACTTACTTGTGTGAAAGAATGATATTCCCATTGTCTTGAATAGCCATTTCGATTGAAGACTACGAGCTGCCCCTCCTTTTGGGCGAAATCCGTCGCGCGAGTGAACAATTCAGAGGGAGAACTTAATGTTAGCGCGTCGCGCCTCGATCTTGAAATTCCGCCCCGACATCAATTTATTTTCCCGCTGATTTTGTCTTTTTTTTTTACTTGACGGACTTCGCCGAAAAGAAGGGACTGCATGATTCCTATGTCAAAAGGTAACCATCGCTCTTGACATAGATTCTCGACCTATCCTTCCCTAAAGATTCCTTTTGGTAACGTACTGAATAGCTAACCTATCTGTCGGTTTTGCTTATCAATTTAATAGAATCGTCGAACCAGTCACTTCTCGGCGTTTTGCTTTCGAAAAGCTTTAGCCAGTTCAGGATTATCCTCCATCCATTTTTCAGCGGTATTTTCCTTCAGCCAGTCACTGTTTTTTATTTGCTGGTGTAATGTCCGAACTAAGTCCTCGAGGCTTTCACCAACCTCCTCGCTTTCCACCAAGCCAGCATTTTCTTCTCTTTGAACAAGTGCAACTCTCTCATCCAGTTTAGAAGCCAGGCCAGCGCGAACCTCCCTCACAGTTTGCTGAATTCTGCTTAAACCTAAATAAATGAGGGCAGTTAGTCACCGAAGTGAACATCATTCAATAATAATTCAATTATTCAACAATGTTCACTGAGCCTGAAGCGAATAATTGTCATAAATTCTTTTGTAAATTTAGTCTTCGCCAACCACTTCAGACTTGCGCCTTCAAGACTCTTCCAGAAAGCTTTCTTCCGAGCTAATTAAAGTTTTATCCAGAAGATTACGATGGCAAGGACAAAGCAGCCAGATGATTAGCGCGTGGAAATCTGCCTTAACTGGCCCGAATTCATGCCCAGAAAAGGGCATCTACCGTTACAGTCTCGGCGACAACTGACAAGACCATGATGCATAACCAGCGATAGACCAGCATGCTATTCACGCGAAATAGCAATGCACCAGTCACTTCATTCTATAGAAACTGGGACTCAGCGGGATACGCCAATAATGGCGCGAAAAAGAAGGCTCCACGAAAAAATGAAATCAGACTCTCTAAATGCCATGCGCTAAATACTTTTTGGGAGAGACTGGTAGCGAGTCTAACGCTCCGCTGACCTCATTTCATTTCGGTAACCGTAACCTTTCTCTTCCCTAAAAGTTGAATAAATCTTCTCACTGATGTAGTTTAGAATACACACAACAGCGACACAGCTTTCTCTCTTGTAATTTTATCTCTTATCTTTCGTCACCTGGGCGATAAGTTGTTACTCACAATAAGCTCACCTAGTTGAAGAACATCTGTCTCCATGGCGAATATTATTCTAAACCAACCGGGTTCCGGACAACAAAAATAAGATCCGGGAAAGATGAATACACCATGTGTTGTCATGCAGTGTAACAAGTGCATTTCATCTTCAAAAGATGATGTTGGAAGTAGCTAAAAAAAATAACAGAGACAGCGCAACAAGTGTTCGTACTCTAAAAACAACCAGCGTAGTAGAAGTAGTAGTAGTAGCAATAATAATAATAACAATAATAATAATTATAATAATATAATAATAATAATATAAAAATAATAATATAATAATAATAATATTAATAAGATAATAACAATAATAATATTATGTGTAAAATACAGTTTCATGGTTTACCGAGTGTATTGTAAATATGTTTGAATGTAACTTACGTAAATACTGAAACGCTCTTTTAGCTTCCTTGATCTTGTAAGTGATTGTTATTATTAAGAATTATTTTGGTTTGAAAGCTTCAGTCATTCTTATCTAAAGAATTGTTATAGCTGGATTTTGAGCATTGTTCATTGAATTTATAGACTGATTTCACATAGTATTTAGGCTTAGCTTTAGAATCAAGTTGTGTAAAAATGTTAGATAATTTTATTGGCTGAACGTAAATAAAGGTTTGTCGTTTTTAATTAAACAATATATATTTTATTAATAATAATGATAGTAATAATAATAATAATAATAACAATAACTTTACTGAAGATTACACATTACAGTTAAGGACTGATAAACCTGTGGCCCTCCCCTAAGACAAGAATAAACTAATTTATAAATATTAAAAGGGTAAAGCAGTTTTAAAAGGATAAAAACTAAAAAAAAAAAAAAAGAAAAAAACCATAAGTGTAATATTAAAAAGGGGTCAGACCATATTACAAAAATTATTAAATGGGAGAACTATCTAAACCAACATAACCTTCCTTTATAAAATTACAATGGTTCTCTTTGAATGCGTTAATATTGGTACTACATCTTATATTAAAAGGTAGAGAGTTCCAAAGTTTTGCGGCTGTAACAGCAAACGTTTTTCCACCTTCTGTATCCGCGTGCATCCATACACGTGCGCTAAGCATGAACCAATTGTTAAATAAAAAGCACGGTGCATTCAATGAGTTGAGTAAGCCTATGTTTACCTCCCTGAAGTCAACCCATATAAACAGACCACATTCTCCAGGAAGGAATGGAATACCAACTTCTCCAAGAGCATCACAAGCCATTTGGTAAGCATTTCGAAGACCTCGTTTATTCGTTGGAAAAAACGTTTTATCTAACCACTCTGCAAACCATAAGAAAAAATTAAAAATAGGTGGTTTGCTCTCTTTTTATCTTTCACTTTGGAAAGAAATAAAATAATTCCCTCCATCCGCTTTCTTTCACATTCATTCCTATGCAATTTTCACACCAAGCATAAGCCTACGAGCAAACTCGTTCCTTGGGCCTCTCGTCTTCCCGTCTCCTTTCTCGCTAGATCGCTCTAGGGCGGCGGGAAGGTGAGAGATCCTGGGAACGAGTTTGGCCAACTAGCAGGCCCTCATTATCAGTATTTTTTCCTTCCCCTCCCTCTATCCCGTTGCCCATTTTTCTACTTAACACCTACTCCCTTGGCAAATATTTCCTCGCCCCAATCCTCCACTGTTACCAAATCTAAGATGGCGGCCTAATACAAAAATGTGCACTCGTGCGCCCAAAATACGCCGGCACTGCAGGCTATCATTATCAATGCTTCAGCACACGCGTTTCTTCGTCTGTGGGAAAGAATGAGGCCTTAAGCAACGCGAGCCCGTGATAGATCTACAAGGGGGTTTGGTTCTATTAGTGCCAGACCCCCGTAAACCTCTCCCAGGCGTGTCTCAAATCTTCCCGCAAACATAGAAACGCGCATTCTGCAACGCTAATAATAAGTGCATGCCCGCAAGCTAACCAAGCATTGAGACTGGAATCATCATCAGCTATTAAACATGGAGCAAAGAATATAAATGAGAACGAACAGATAAAAAAANCCTAAGGGAAAGGTTATATCATAGCGTAAGTGGAAAGCGAGGTATTGAGATATGAAGTGATTGGCTGTTAGATATTTGGTTTTGGTTTAACGATATTCACCCAAAGGCTCCACCGAGCAACTTTAGTCGTAAGTGTGACAGCTTAAAACGTAGACGATCACAAAAAAAGCAGAAAAGGCACAAGGACATGAGTAAACGACGACGAGGATGAAAACAGTCCACGTTTTGGCGAACGTAAGAAATATAAGAGTAAACCTTACAAAAATGTTATCTCCTCTAGCGCCCGGCACGTTTTCTACAAAGTTTACGTTCGTTGTTGTTTAAGCTACAATGAGTGGCATCTACTACTTTTTATTTTTTTTTTCCCGTAACTTTCATCTATCTCCCCTCTCCCTCATTTCAATGCCGCTCACTAGTTCTTGCAACATTGTTTAAGGGGAAAGTACCTTATTAGATGAATTACAAAATTTCTGTTTCCTATGTTGAGTGGAGGGTTATAACCCACCTACTAAAAGGGGATGAGTATCAATTACTTTCGCTACTCATTGAAATCTGAACTACCTTCATCAAAGTTTATCTCCACCTTACTGGTGCTGTCCTTTCTCGGTATGTTGGTATTTTAAAATCTCAAACAAATCGAGGGTATTTCTTGGCGAACTAAAATATCATTTTAATCAAGATAGTCACTTCAGTCATCACCTCAAATAACTCAGAACTGATTCGGTACCAATCCATTGTATAACTTGCCTGTGTTTGAGCCGGTATATCATGGAATCTTTGATACCCTGAACTTATGACTCTAAAAAGTTCTTTGTTTAACGTGTGAAGAACACCGCAGCGAAATCCAGATATTCCAAAATCCTACAAATGTAAAACAGTCAAATCAGTGAGGGCGAATGTAGGCGCGTCATCGTACTCCGGGAGAGAGAAGAGAACCTCTCGGACCAGGGTACGATTACTGTGTAGTCACGAACCCAGATGGCGTCTTTTTCGTTTCGGTTGACAGCATATTTGGTTACTTTGCAGGGTAGGTTACTAAAACGACGAACGGGGAACGGGAAACGGGGAACGGGGATGAACACGCACAGAGGCCTTTCCATAGAACCAGCGCTTCCCTGCGGCTTACATTTTTCCCGCGCTTGAAACCGGTTTCATGTTATCTACACAAGCTTAGTCATTCCCGCGATTTTAATCGCTAACACGCTTTTCCCGCGTTGGACGCCAAATTCGTCCTAAGAACTTGCTACTTGTTTTCCCGTTGTGTAAACCACAAGACTGAATTAATCGACTTTAATCAACGATTACTTAATCAGAAACTTCTAACAGTGACAGAATAAAACGGGGCGGCCACGCTTAGTAAAACAACACAACGAGTACATTGCGAGTACAAGTTTCGACATGGCGGTTCTCTGATGCACTCGAGCACATGTTTTTTTAACTGTTTCTGCGCATGTGCCGAACGCACACCGCAGGTTAATAACATTGCGGTCTAGACTACTAGTCACCAGATTCCACACCCGTGCTTGAAACTAGTTACACGCAGGTCATGCTCTGGGGCCATAACAATTTCAAACAAATGCGTTTTCAGTTCTCTCCCTCTCAGACAATCTCAAGTTAGTCAGTCATTTCACAAAAATGCTTTTCTGTCGCCTTTTGGGCGTTTCTCTTTCTTGTTCAGTGTTTGAGGTCTAAAACAACACGTTCCATGTAGCCTGTAAGAAAATGTGCAAATATGCCTGCAATATTCGTGGCTTTACTAACCACACTCTATTCGCTAAAGCACTACACACGAATTAATCGCTCAGTTCACACTACCTTACTAAAGCCCCACAGAACGTGAACCATCTCTTTGTCTGGAATGCTGCAAGGAAAACATAGACACTCCTGGTCGGTTATTTACCCTCAGATTTAGAGCGGCTTTCAGTAAGTGTCGAGAAACCAAAAACCAATGTAATCTCAGTGGCCACTCAGAACAAAGGTTTGGACAATCCTTAGCCAATGAAAACTCAAAGTGAAAAACAAGCGAAAGCGCGGGAAAACGCGAACGACCAAGTTTTGCATCTGATTGGTTGAGAGAGTCACGCGAGTTTTCTGGACCAATCACAGAGCGAAGTAAACCAAAACCAATTCAGTTCCCTATTAAATTTGACCCTCAATTGAAAATTGCCTTCTATCCATTCACATGAAACTGCTTATTTACTTGCCTCCTCAACCGGGTACCACGAGCTTAAGGCATCATTGCTGCCGAGCCCCATCCCAGTTTCTACAGCACGAAGTAATAAGGGGTGCTAGTTCTCCTCAACGAAAGGAACTTAATAACCAATCCCAGATTACCTTACCCAGCCGGAGAGTTCTATCACAATGTTCGGTTTTCTAACATTTTAATACTTTCCTTATTTTCATGCGGAGTGGTGAAAGGCACAATTAAAGTGGAGTGCCTTGAACAAGAACTCAACACAATAGCCATGAAAAGAGAGAAAAGTATGTTAACAAACCGCAAATCGTGTTTAGAGAGGCTAAGCCAGAGAGTTCCTTCCCAAAGATGCCGATGAAAGCGATCAGCTGCGACAAAAGTATTGCATTAAGAGAACAACCCCTTGACAAGTGTGTACGGTAAAAGCGACTTACTTTTTTAAACTCATCACGTTTGTCACAGAACAACCTTCTCTGTATCCACACATCATGTATATTTCGTCAACGATGACATGCAAAGAATGCCTAAAACACCAAAGTAATAACGATTAATAGGGAGTAAGTTTCTTTTCATATATGGCTTCAAAACTATGGAACTCTCTTCCGGACTCTTTTAGAACGTCTGACTTTTCTGATTTCTAGCGCAAGATTCTACAGTATGACTCTTTCTCATAGTTAAATTTTAGAATGTTACAATTTTACATTTTAGTAGTATTTAGAATTATACTTGTAACTCGAAGATACTAGCTTATCCTTTAGCTACACCAAATTCGAGATTAAATAAAGTATATGTATGTATATGTCTATGTATAAGTTTCTAATGTGGCGCAGCGTAGGTGGGGGGAGTACAACAAGATAATTTGCTTTTAACAACTGAGTTCAATAGGCCTCTGTTACGAGTTTCAAAGCTGATGTTTCGAGCGTTAGCCCTCGGTCTTTCGCTCTGACGAAGGACTAACGCTCAAAACGTCAGCTTTGAAACTCTTTAAGGTGGCCAATTTACATTCATAACAAATTAGCTTCGCTACTCCGACGAAGCAAGGAATCTATGGAATCTTTAATTATCGTCTGCATTTTCCCTTAAATTAGCGAAGGCTTTTCCGAAACAGGGATCTGGGTCACTCAGATCCCCTTTTCAAAGATAGCTATAATTCTGCTCACAACTGTTTTCGCATCTTTTATGTGATCTTCGGGATTTTGTCTATTCTATTCGAATTTTGCTAGTAGTTTTGTTATTAAAACAACCTCTGTTACTCTATCAATAACATACCTTAATTTATAATTCAGAGAAAAAAAAAAAACACTCGCAAACCATAATCCCCTATTTTGCTCCAACGATGGGCAAAACACCAGCTTTTTTTTTTATGATTCGCTAGGGTGAGTAACCCATTCGCTCAATTAATAATCCCCTAATTGATATTTTTCTTTATTCTCATCACTTGTCTGTTCGATATTGTATTCATAAGGTAGGGGGGAAATTCTCTCTTGGTCATTCATAGGAGTTAAAATATTAATCAATATCTAAGAAATAATTGGTGGACTGTTACAGTATCCTAAGCAGTGAGCACGAATACATCTGTGTCTTTCCTTACCTGAAAGCAAAATCCAGACAGTCTTGTAAGAGTTCTTCGGAATAGATGTTGCCCAGAGGGTTGTTTGGGTTACATAGCAATAAGCCACGGATTTTCACGCCCTGTTAGGAAGATCAGCAAAAATATCTGCTACGATCAGCTTGGTGTTAAAAATTTAAGAAAAAAAGTGCACTCCGCATCTCTTTTGACTCAAATTGAACTCTGCTCTTTTGATTCGTCGTTCATGAATTGACATCTAGAAGAATTTTAGATGATAAATGATAAATTTGGCAAGTTCTCTGGAATACAAGCACTGATGATCTCTGAGAGCAAAGCCAAAGGATTTTTAGATTAATTTTTGGTACTGAACACTAACTTTCAACCCACTGCATAAAAAGTGATTCTTTGTGGATAATTTCTTCTTCTCATTTTTTTGCTGATTAACTACATTTTCCCGGTTTAAGAGTACCTGTTCTGTTGCCTTCTTCAAAGCAGATTCTAATCTTGTCACTGTAAGTTGAAACGGCTGTGTCTCTCCAGGACCAACCTTGGACAAAAAAAGAACATAAAGTTTATGCCCAGATTCCAGAGATCAATAGTTATATTTAGAAAATACTGTGGTCACTTGAATAAGTGCTAACGGCCTGTTTTCTTCGTCCTACACCTTTACTGAACGGTTCCTGAAAACGGGACCACTCAAATTAAACTAAAAATAATCTTGCAAGTTTTTTTTAATCTTCATTCTTCTCTCCCAAAATCAAAGGGAGTAGTATTTTTTCGAGCAAGATTCTGTACATCAATTGGTCAATTATGGCATAAAGTAGCGTCGTTCCTCGTTTTTTATACTACCCCTAATCTGGCGACGCCTATTTAAGTGGCCAAGCTGTATTAAGCCGTTACCCTGCCAATTACCGTGGGTGACATCTTAACACAGGTTCGATTGTACCAACCTTGCTAGAAAGTTCAACTGGAAAGGGTATCACTCTTGATCTTGACTGCAAATCCAGGTGAAATGATCCATAAAATGGACACGGGATCAGCAAACCTTCTGTTGGATGTGCAAAGACAAAAAAAAAATTATTTTGTAATTTTGATGATGACTGGTTTGCAATCAGCTACTTCAAAAAAAAAATCTAACCAAGTGAGGATTGACTGGGTAGCCTGGCCTGTCAGGCTTTCAAAACTAAACATGACTTGAAGAAATTTAGTACTTTGTTCCAAACGGTTTTGAGTGGAGCTGATATCTTACGCATTCAAATACATTTAGGCTGCACGGTTCTAGTTTTGACAGCAGCCTGGCTCTACTTCCAACTGTGGTTATTCCAGGCAGCCATTGCCTTAATTTCATAATTACAGTTTTTGTAAGTGGTAGGATGGAGAGAAAAAGTCGAAATAAAAAAAAGGATAAAGTTTGCCGTAGTTGCTACTTTGGCAACATTATACATACAGATTCAAATACCTCCTTCATCAGCTAGAGAAAAGGCCAGTGTATCTACTAGTGGTGTACATCCATTGGAAACAATCAACTGAAAAAAACAAATTATTACAAAGCTGTACATTTATGCACAAGAGGATGCAAGGAATAGGCAAAGATGGCTAACCACACATTATTTGAATTATTGGACAATACATGGCTCTGTAGTGATAGACCAGGTGACCTTATGGTGTCCCTAATAGTTAGCCATGTATTGTGGACTCTGGATCAGAGGCCTGGGATCCAGACCTGGCCAGTGTTCTTGGGCAAAACACTATCCTCACAGTGCTTCTCTCTCCCCTCCGGAGTAGAAAATGGGTGCCGGAAAATTGTCAGGGAAGCCTATTAAGTAATGATTGGGGAGTAGCCTTGAGATGAATTGGCCCACTATCCAGGGAGGAATGGTACGTAATACTCCTAGGTGCTTCATGTAAAGGAAACCGGAGTAAGCTTGGAAAGGATGAATGAATAAAGGAGGTAAGTTTCTAATTGATAGAAACTGTGGTGCTGTGTTGGTGCTAGTAATAGAGTAATTTTGGGAGAGTTTAAAAGCTGATGATTTGAGTGTTTGCCCTTTGTCAGAACAAAGGGCAAAGGGCTAATGCTCAAAATGTCAGCTTTGAAACTCTTTAAGCCATTTGGCTTGAGTACGACTTTTACTTATGGCACTTCTCTCAAATTACCTTTAAGCATACACCTGTACGAATAACATGTACGGATATAAAGAGTGCTTCTTTGTTGAGTGTCATAATAAAACCAAAATCAAGGTCTTAAGTAATTTTAACAGCATCAACAGACTGATATTACAGGGAGCCAGTTGAACTCAAATTAAACTCATTTAAAAGTTGTGTTAAATACAGGAAAACAAAGGATTGGATTTAGTTTAGAACTTGACTGGTAAAGAAAGTGGCACAAGTTTTCTAGACCAAGTGCAGAACGTAGTGAAAGAAAAAAAAGATGCATACTGGAATGAATGGCAGTTTCAAAACTACATTTATTTAAAATTTGCTTCAAAGATAAAGTGCAATCCATGCAGTGTCTGGTCAGTTGCATGAATGCTTGTTAGAGGTAGCCTGTGTGGACTATCTAACCCTCACTCATGGGGTAAAGGGAGAAAAACTGTCTATGCTCTAATTAGAACACTAATTGTAGTAGTATTACATAGTTTTACTACACCCACCCCCCCTTTCTTTATGTATGTCCTGGAAATTGATAACTCTCCCAGGATGAGCCAGTGCAACAACATTTTGGCATGAACAAACTTGAGTACATTCCTTTAACACTTACATGTAAACCTTATGAGATGATTGGTGATAGCAGTATGCCAACAAGCGCTGTTAGTAAACCATTAGTCAATCCAAGTAAAATACTTGGGATCAAATAAAGTTTTCAAGAAAAAAAGAGTGAGATATGTAGTGAAAAATTTCATGAGTTTACTCTATTCCCATCAGGAAAATTTATGATCACTATGGTACGAGGAATTTCAATCTAATACCAATCTATGATTTTGCATACATTTTCTGGAAGAATAGGCTCCACAGGCTCCATATGGTCATTAAGAAAATCTGCAATTGCTTCTCTAAAACTGAAAAAAAGGAAAAGAGAGATATCATATGTAAGAGGCTGATAGTTTCGAAAGAAACAGTTTGGGGCTGCGTCCATGGGAGTAACGAAATAATTTGGATATATCAACAAAGTTGAAATGGTAAATTGGCCACCGTAACAATTACAAAAGCCGACTTTGCGAGCATTAGCCCTTCGTCGGAGCGAAAGGATTCGTCATTCGCTCCGACAAAGGCTGACGCTCGAAACGTCAGCTTTTGTAATCGTTACGGTGGCCAATTTACCATTTCAACTTTGTTGATATATCCAAATTATATCATATGTAAGAATGGATTGTAGTCATGTAGGAATGACAATTG